GGGAGCTCTTGAATCCCAAACTGATATCTGGGAGGCCAGCATGGGACTGAATGCTTGTGAGGAGGCCTAGGCAATCTATGGGGCTTTGGGTAGTAGATCAGTATTTATCTCTGGCATACAAATGGACTTTGGGTGCCCATCCCACAATGAGGGATGCTCTCTCAGTCTGGACTCTTGGGAGAGGGCATAGGCCCTGCCCTGAATGAAATTACAGACTCTGGAGATCCCCATGGAGGGCCTCACCATCCCTGGGGAACGGAGTGGGGATTGGGGGTCCTGGGAGGTCTGGCCGGGGGCCGGGGGAGGAGGGGAGGGAAAGGGAACTGGGATTGACATGTGAAGCAACCTTGTTTCTAATTTAAATTTTAAAAAATCTAAAAAAATTCTGGCAGTTAAGGAAAGTATTGGGGGGATGTGGCATAGTTTTTGTTCAGTGGTATAATCATAGATAAGCTGTTATTTTTCCAGGAACTACTCCCCCCCACACACACACATACATACACGCAGATTCATGCAGCTATCATCATTAACTCAGTGTGTCATGCACACAAAAACATAGGAAAGTGAACAGGGAGGAATTAGTGGGTTAAATGGTTTCAAGAGTGGGAAGGAATGCGAGAATGGTGGGGGTGAACGGTGACCAGATTCATGACTGACATGGACAAAGTTTTCAGAGAATCTCTTTAAAGAAAAAACTTAGCACAAACGTAAGAAAAAAATGTATTTGATAGCTCAGTATGACCTTTCCTTTTTTTAAAAAAATGCAAAACAAAGCACAATTTTAAATTCTTTCTTAAGAGTTTTTTTAAACATGAAACAAACTTTACATTATTTATTATTGAGCAACACTTCCAGGTGGGAGCACTTCTTTACCCTTGGTGTAAGTCTTTATTGTTTGAACTCTCCTAGTCCCCAAATTTCAGTGACACATGCTATTTTTGTTAAAAAAAATCCAATTGACAGCAGGCTAGTTTGAAAAACAAATTTGTGCCAATATCATAAAAACTTGGTATCATAATATAGACCCATTTTGTAGGCATATCTTCTGGATAATTCCAAAATTTCCAGTAAATATGCCAAAGGTAATTTGAGAAATAAAAGGAGTTGATGGAGAATTTTTGCAGGTAAAGTACTAAAGTTTCCCTTCTGATGGTCATCACATTGCATCTTTTTTCTTCTGTGCCCATCACACATAGGGACTGCCTAACTTTCCACTGTTGATCTAGTAACACTTCTTCTGCTGTGAGGAAGAAATCTATTTAGTAGGTCATGAGCACTTAATGCAATCCAAGCACTACATGGAATGCTTGTAGGTTGCCTCATGTGATTCTCACATCAGATTCCAGAGCTTGAGTCCATGAAGCCTAATTCTAGAACTTTAGTAAATTTATGCTAAATGTATTATACTAAACATTTATTTAATATAAATGTATTTAGTATAATTATTTAACATACTGAATATATACTAAATAAGTTTATTTAGTATAAATATGTGTTTATACCAAGTGATACTAGTGTATTAGACTAAGTCCAACATAAACTTTAGGGTAAAATACCTGTGTTTGTTTTTCAAGACTATATACCAGTAGCACCAACTGTCTTCTTTCTCTATTGCTGGGATAGGACACCATGACCAGAGCAAATTACAGAGGAAGGGGATTGTGGGGCTTTGCAGTTTGAGAGGGTTAGAGCCCATAATGGTCATTTTGGGGAGCATGACAACAGGCAGGCAGCATAAAGCTAGAGCAGTAGCTGGGAACTGTCAACTTGATCCACACAACCACAATGCAGAGAGACAATGCTGAGAAAGCTAGCTGGGACACCTTCCATTCCTTCCCAAACAGTTCCAACAACTGAGGACCAAGTATTCAAAAATGTGAGCCTATGGAAGCCATTCTTGTTCAAACCACAGAACCAACTATCTGGCCACACTCTGTAGACTCAACTTTACAAATCACTCATTTTTTATTATTTATTTTTAAATTTAAATTTAGATTAGAAACAAGGTTGCCTCACAAGTCAGTTCCAGGTCCTCTCCATTTCCCTCCCTTCCTCCAGTGACCAGCCCCCCAAGCCCCCCAATATCCCCTCATTTCCCCAGGGAGGGTGAGGCCCTCCATGGGGGTGTCCATAGTCTGTCATTTCATATAGGGCAGGGCCTAGACCCTCCCCCAAGAGTTCAGTGTGAGAGTGCATCTCACATTGTTGGATGGGAGTCCAAAGTCCATGTGTATACTTGGGATAAATACTGATCTACTACCCAAGGCTCAATAGATTACCCAGGCCTCCTTACTGACACATTCAGGGGGTCTTCATCCATACAAATCACTCATTTATAAACACCAAAATGGATCTGATCAGATCAGTGTTCAAACCACAGAACCAACTATCTGACCTCACTCAGTAGACCCAACTTTACAAATCACTCATTTATCAAAAGGGATCTGATCAGATCGGGTCTCCTTTAAAACAGCAAAACATAGAGTTTAACATTTCCTACCCAGGCTTCTCATAGAATTATTGCCCTTTAAGACTAGGCATTTCAAGCTGAGCATTCGTGACACTCTGTGAGTTTGAGTTTGAGGTCAGCCTGGTCTACAGAGTGAGTTCCAGGACAGGTTCTAATACAATACAGAGAAACCCTGCCTTGAGAAAAAAAAAAGACTAGGCATTTTTGTTTGCTAAACTTCAGTTTACTCAATGGCCTGTCTCAGAATAAACAAATGAAACTAGTGTATGTGTGTTTGACAGCAATTTGTATTAGTTTATGGTAGTTCGGAAGTTTATTGTAGTTCAGAAAATGAGAACGGATTCTAAAACAATTCTCCAGCAATAGCTACTTTTCAGTCTCTACATTTACATTGAATTGACTGATAGATCAATTAAAAAAAAAGTCATGCCATACATAGCAAGACTACTGGTAGTGATCTTATTACTACTAAGTTTCTAACTCCTGGAGGAGATAAATGTTTAAATTGGAAGTAATGTTAGTACCCAGCAAGGAAAGGAAAACATTTTCACTTACAACCCTAAACACATTATGAAAATACCTTAACATTATGTTATAATAAGATATTCTCAATCTTTGTTGTGTCTTGTAAAGTGCATTGTTATACACAAGTGTCTGTATTTACATGTATATGTGCACATATAAACACTGCATCATACAGAGAGGCAGAAGACACAACAGACTAAACAGGGCATATGGAATGTCCACCAGAAAGGCAATTTTAGGAAACATGCTGAATGCAGGTAAGGGAGTCCAAGTAAGACCTGGTGGGAATGGACTCTGATCCTACAGAACACTAGTTTTCTAGATATTTGGATAATTTTGAAATTGGAACTGAGAAAAGACATGAAAATCAAAACCAGTAAGAATGTGATATTTAATATTTGCTACATAAACACTTGAAATACATGTTAGACAGGAAATCTCTTGCCAATGGACTAATGGGTCATGGTATCGAGGTTACATAGCCTTCAACCTTTGTGTTCTGCTCACTGCTTTTGAGATAGGGTCTTACTCTGGGGTCCAGGCTGCCTCTTTAATCTGCAGCCCTCCTGCCTCAGGCTCTTGAGTGGCAATAGCTCACCCTATTCTTACTCATCAAACTTCTTTGACATTTGTCCTTTCATCTTGGAGCTGCTCTATTTCTCTATCGGAAACTTACCCAGCATTTCCTGTGTGTTTCTCAGGCCCATCCAGGTCTGTGCTACCCCTAGCCCCTGTGCTAGCAGCCTTCTCTTGTAGTCAGAGGAGGGCGCTCCTTCGGGTGGTACTTCTGCTTGGTCCTCTTCTTGCTAGACAGGAATGCTCCGGTAATTTGCTGACTTGGGCTGATTTTTGCAAAGGGCTCTAACCACAAACCCACTCATCCTTTCTCTGAAGTTCTCAAAAGTGCTAAAGCACTTAAAAACGGCACGAATTTGTTGTATTTGGTGACACTATTGTGGATCTTGAGTGATCAGACAAGGGAAGGCGACTAACTCCGGGCCACCTCTACTAGACAGAAGTAACATGAACTTTAATATGCACTCATACAAGAAGTAAAAAACAAAACCAGTGCTCTGAGTTCTCTATTAGAGTCAGTCCCCGGTGTTCAAACATCCTAATTTAGCTTAGACAAAACAGCCCACATTCCATTTCTAAGGAGACAGCCTTCCTCCCCACTCTTCCTTGCCCACCCGTAGTCTAGTTTCTCCTTTTTCCTTTTGTCATAGTCTTACCCCCACCCCACCCCACACACATACAAAACCATAATCTACAACTTCCTTTAATTGGGAATCTCCTTAAAAGAGCCAAGCTTTCCCCAACTGAAAGCAAAGCCTCGGTAGAGCTTGTGTGTGGTGAGGAAGGGAAGGAGCTGACTCCGAGTCCAGGTGTCTGGTGGCAAGAAAGGGTTTTATCCGACCCGCTGAATTCCTTACGGGTCTGATCCTTTCTGAGCAGCTGGACACAGGGGGGTGAAAAAAAGGGAGTAAAAGCCCCAGCACTTTCAAAGTGCCCTTCCCACCCAGATCTGAAAGAAGTCTGGAGGATACGAAGGCGGGGCCACTAGGCTGGCAACACCCTCCTGAAAATCCAGCCCCGCCCTCCACCACCTTAGGGATTTGGTACGTGAAGAAAGATCCTCTCAGTGAAAAGGCAGATGTCCCTTTAAGGTTTGCTTTGCTGCTGCCCGTGGACTTTAGCCTAAACACGGTCCCGCGAAGTTGGCTTTATTTGTCCATGTCTTGGATAGAGCCTGGGAAGCTGCCAGTGAGATTTCAGAGACCCAGAGCGCGAAGGGGCGGGGAGATGTGGCAATCCGTCTGGGATGTGAAAAGCGTGGAGTGCGCTTAGAGGCATTCTACCAAAACACAGGAAATCACTCCTCCACAGCTCTCGGGCGCCACAGCCGCTGGGGCCACCGCTGGACACCCGCGGAGACCGCCTGAGTGACCCTGAGCGACAGGCACCGGCGACCAGGTCCTACCAGCTGCTGCCTGCTCCTGCCCAGGAACCAGCACCTCCAGGGAGCTGCAGCCGCTCCAGCCATGGTCCCCAGGCGCCCTGCCAGCCTAGAGGTCACTGTAGCCTGCTATTGGCTCCTCACTGGTGAGCGACGCTGCTTTTCTGATCATCTCTGGTGGGGCTTGGTTGGGATTGTGATGAGGGGTGACACACGCAGGAGAGGGTCAGACCGACCTGAGAGGCCCTCAGGTAGACCCACCGGGTCAGAGGACTGAAGGGAGCGCTCAAGGCCAGCCCAAGAGTGAGGGAGGCAGTGCCTAGACCTTTCCAAGTAGAAGACGCTTTTCAAATTAAAGTTGTTTTTACTTTGTGAGCTGCATTTTAGGTATCTGAAGTTTTGGAAAGGAGAAAAGCGGGGGACAGGGAGGGGAACCTGATTAGTGTGCTAAGTTCCTGCCCTAGGGTTGCTCAGTAGTGAACTTTATAACCTTTTCTTCCCGTTTAATATTTAGGATCTTTTCTGCTACAGAACAAGACAGGCATGCGAGGCAAAACTACTTCTTGTCTCCATGTGACGTTTCTACATTAACTCCCAGGAGGCAGAACATTTTGAAATAGGAACGTTTAGTATCCAAATATCACAATGCAGTATTTCAAATATATTTTAAGAATACAGAGTACCCTAGAAATGCAGTGTTGTATCCAATTGAGAGAAACTGGGAGTATTTTGGATTTTCCAAAGGGTAGAGGTAACTGGGGCCACAGCTTCTAAAGTGGTTACCAGTTGGAGAGGTGAAACCCAGCTGGTGGTGGGGTGAAGTGGCAGAAGCTTTAAGCATCAGATTATCACCTCGTTAGTCCTTTAGTTAGTGGTTGTCTTTACCATTCCATAATACTCAATTGTCTGGCATTTTCACTGTTGGTTTGCTTAACTAGTTAATTTCACCACTAACAATTAGCAATAGGGGCAGTTAACCCAACAGTGGGTGGCTAAATACCAAGACCCCTCAGGTTCACTTAAGACGGGATTGTCAGCAGCCCAGCTTTTCTCATAGTGAAGTGGTGTTCGGAGTTAATAATGAGCCATGGGCTTGCGCATCTACACACTTCCCATTCCTTGGGAAATGCCCAATAAAGCAAACAGTTCTGAACAGCACTATAGGCCAGGGAGTGGTTGAACCTACTAGCTATTGTCATGGGTGTAAGCTTGACCTGACATTCTTTTCCAACCCAAATCTGCAGAGATTGGATCTTGTTGTTTTGCAAAATTTGAATTTTTTACTAATTACTCAAGCTGCATCTTTCTTTTCTTTTTATCTTTTTTTTTTTTACAATTTACCAAACTTTCACTCAATGCAGAAATGAGGTTTATGTATTCACTAAAGAATGCGTTTTCCAAAAGGGGCAGGGATGATGTAGTCACAATTTCATATATACATTGGTGTAGCATGCCTTTCTGGATCCCCAAGATGAGAATAAAAGGAGAAAAATCGGTAGATATTTCTAAAGTATGTTCAGGTTTTAGTGCGTAATATTCAGAGTGTTATTGACCCAGGAAGGACAGGTTCCTTATGTGTAGTGTATTTATGTCCATTTCACAAGATGGCATTAAAGATGCCAGGTCTGACTTTTCCCTTATCAATTGCTCATACTTGGAAACCTCTTACCAATTCATGGAACCTTCAGGTAACCTGGAGTCTTACAGGTATACCCACTTGCGAATGATATTGGAGAGCTTAAGTTGTTTCCAACCTTTACTCCACTGTGTCTGTTTTAAGTAGACCATCTGTGGTGGTTCATGGTTGTCTCTCAGATAAAATCCAAAATACTCAACCGATCGCCCAAATCCAGGGCCCGTGCCTTTGTTGTAACAAGTTGTCATTGACTTATTGGCTTAAACAGAGATATTTACTGTTTCACAGTTCTGTAGGTTTTAAGTTGAACTGTGATAAAATCAAGGTGCTCCCAGGGCATTTCCTGTGGAGGCCTTACAGGAAAATGGCTTCCTTGCTGCTTTCCACTTCCTGTGGCCACCTGCAGGTCCTCAGAGCCAGGAGTGAAGGTTTTCAGTCTTCCTCTCTGACTCTGCTTCACAGTAACATTTTCTCCATGTCTACCTGCCCAGGGTTCCTGTATTTATCTCATGCTTCTTTCCAGATCCCTGTTCAATTACAACTGCCAAGTCTGCTTTCTCATCTAACATAACTTACTTGGAGTCCATGGATTAGGGCAAGGGCATCTTTGGTGGGCCACTATTATTCTGCTTATCACAAGCCTTACAGAGCACCCGGGGAATCCAGGCACATTTCCTTACACTGCTCATAATCTTCTTGGTCTTCTTGTCACTGTGGATGTGATCTTGTTGTTTTATGCATCTAGAAAAGAACCCCGCCCTTCCTTCCCCACTACCCCCTGCCTTCTAAGCAAACTCTTTCCAGCTTTCAAAGCTATGCATATAACATAACAAACCACCACCATTCCAATAAACTCCCCAAGGATTTACAGCTCCCTGGGTAAGTTTCTTCCAACATATATTAAATAATTTGCCAAGGGAAAAAATGTTCTCACTTATATCCAAATAAAGTCCTTTTCATTGTTTTATACATGTCAGGGCCCCAGTGTAATATATGGTAAACACGGAAAGTTTAATTGAAGGGAGTTTCAGAAGCACACAGCCTGGGGGACACCTCAAGGGAACCAATAAAGGTAGAGGACCTGGGATGAAGAAAGTGTAGATAGAAATCACATGAAACAGCAAGCTGGAAAAGGAGCCTTGAGGAACCTGAATACCGGAAGCAGGGATCTGTATCAATGCAGTGGTGACAGGCAGACTGCAACCAGATCAAAACTGAAGCTCAGCCAACAAGGAACAGAGACAAGATATGCCTTCTCCCTCTCCCTGTAACGTTTTGCCCATTGCTATCATTGGAAATACTCAAATGATTAGATTCAGCCTTCCAGATAGTTGATTACAATAACTAGCACAGATTAATACTGGAACTTACTACACAGAAGGCCCTGGGCCAAGAACTTTGTAATGTTTTACCCTAATCTGGAAAAGTAAAAGTTTGCATGCACATCTTTCATAATCTGAAGATGAAAAAAAAATACGACAAAAAGTACTAAGATTAATTGCACTTGCCCAAAGTCTCTTGGCTAATGAGTGACAAATTACTTCAATTCACACCTCTGACCTCAAGTTTCCTGATATGAATACGGCCTAAATACAAGCTCATTTTCCTCTTGCACTCAATGATGTGAGTAAAATGCAAACTCAATGGCTAAAAGACTCTGGGAAGGATATATCTAGTTAATGAAGCAAGTGTTGTTTCCATGATCTTTAGGTGTATAGTGAAATTAGATGATAGCACACTCTACCTTAAGTATACTCTAGACAAGATCACTTCTACCTCAGTTTATTAATAACAAGTTCTAGAAATGCCCCTGGTTGAGCTGTATATCACTCCTGCCTAGAATATGGCCTAGAAGCACGGGTCATTTGTTGAGCCTTCTTTTCCACAGCCAGTACTTCCTATTCAAAGTCCAGTGAGGAGACGTTTGAACACAGAGAGGCAGTCATTGATCCAAATCAAATGAATGAACTCCAGTGGCAGCCATGTATTAGTAGTAGTTACTAAACTGGGGGGAAATTTGTCTTACTCATTGTGTTATCTACAAACGCTATAACAAATCCACTGGGACTTGTCTGTTTAGTTACAAGACAATGAGAGTAACAAAAAAATATATATATATATACACCAAATGGTCTTGATGCTAATATTGATGGTTAATACTAACATAAGTAAAACCTACTGTTTTCATTTAAAAAATAGCTCAAGAGAGGAAGATGCCATGTGACAGAGCTCACGTGGATGGTTTTTTTATTTAAGGAAATGGAATGGGAAAAGAAGGGAGGGGATGGGGAAGATCAGCTTCTGGGGAGAAGAGCAGCAGAAGAGAAAAGAGAGGCAGAGAGAGAAGGGTGGGGAGGCAAAGAGACAGGCAGAGAATGGGGGAGAGAAGGAGAGAGAGGGAAGGAGGGAGGAAGGCTGGCAGAGGGGAGGTAGGCAGGGCTCTTTTAAAAGGGAACATAGTGAATGTGCACAAGTGGTGCTCTTCATGGCTACAGCTGAGTGTGTATCCTGCTAGAACCCCAAGGGCAGGCCAGTATAGATTCCTGAAAACTGATAGTTACCTCTCTATTGTCTTTGAAGACTACGTTTTCCAGAGATGATTAGATCATGTAGGTTCTAACTTAATGGTTTAATCAACTGATAGACATAAATTTGAACCAATTATTGAGAGCTGGTGGAATTACAGGGAAGAGGTCCCTGGAAAGGTGGCACTGGGGACTGTGGTTCGCCCCCAGTGCCACTGCTTTGTGTCCACCGTGATGTGAACTGTGGTTCTACTGTGACCTACTGGCCTAACTCTGAGACAAAATAAATCACTCATTCAGTTGTCTCTGTCAGAGGTTAGTCACAGTAAACTCATGCAGCAGACACACCTGTGAGATGTCTGAGCTTCAGAGCCATGCCTAATTGCTGCTGCTGATGTATTTCCTATGTAGACAGATGCTACTCTGCCTTCCTTCCTCTTCCCCAACCCCTAACACTTCCCATTGAGATTAACAACTGCCCAAATTTTCATGTGCCTCTTAACATACTGTAATAGAATAAACTAGTCATTTGATATATTTTCTAAGAGTTATGACCCAAACACTATTCTAAATAACTTCTCTTCTGGTACAGGAAACACAAAATTGTGTGTTGGAGTTCATGTTAAGCAACTGGGATAAAAGATATCTTGGAATCGTTACCACAGTGCTAAAGTCAGAATAGACTGCATACCAGGGCTGTCTGTGACTGGAGAATTGTATCCCTCTCAAAACCAGTGCAACAAAACATCAAGAGATGCAAACGAGATGGATATATTCCTTTCCTTGAGATCTCTGAACTTCTTTCAGACTTCTTTCGTGTGTCAACCCTTCTGAAGTTGCCTCTGGGACTGAAAGGAAGCAGTTACTCCCTCTGCTATAGATTCTTAACTCCCACACAAATATGATTCCCAAGCAACTCAATGAGTTGGACTATCTCTCCTTCTGCAGACACCAGAGTGCTCCAGCACCTTTGTATAAAACACCA